TCTTGCAAGTCTAAGGCTGAGAAGAATGAATGATTTGTTTAGCAGAACGAAATTGAGAAATTTTAATGAAAAACTGTTCTAATCTAACACATAAGTCCACTTATTAAAGTCTGATATCCAGTACTTGCACATTAGAAATTTTTCGAGACACCTTGCATATACATTATTCTGATTTATATAAAAATTTTAAATCTGATGATGGCGCTGTTGTCTCGCCGAAACGTAATGAAATAAACGATGTTTCAAAAATTTTTACTTCACACTTTGACTGAAACCCAGGAAGGATAGGAATATCATAACTTGCATATACATTATTGCTGAAAATGGTCTTAACCGCTTTTAATAAAACTAGGGTTTTTTCAGGAGTTTGGTTAAGGATTATAATATAAATGCCGGAGGTTAATTAAATAATGAAATGATGAATTACAAATCAACATCATTGTCCCAAAAAAGCGGTTTGTATTTTGCACGGGGTCAATATTATCGGCACTAAATAACTGTAAATGTAAAATTAACAATTTAACCGTTTAGTTTAAAACTTCATAATTGAGTTCAACGGTGACTTTTTGTATCCTGATACATTCTCCTGCACGTCGTGTTGACGATTCTTGCATTTGCTACCGAATTCGTCGGAGAACCAAACATAATTTTTTGTAACATTTGGTCTTTAATTTCAATAGCAGTAGAAAAAAATATTTTCGATTTTTCCCAGATTTAAAAATCCAATGGATTTAAGTTGTGAGAACGGACGGTCCAAGCCACAATTCCTCAACTGCCGATCCAGTCATTTAGAAAAACACTCTTTAGAATTATGATATTCTTATCTTTCCTGGGTCTCAGTCAAAGTGTGAAGTAAAAATTTTGAAACATCGTTTATTTCATTACGTTTCGGCTAGACAACAGCGCCATCATCAGATTTAAAATTTACACAAACTACAAACACCAATTGACAATTAAAACATGTTGTATAAACACTATAATTTACAAAGTGTTAAAACATTYATCAATTTTTGAGGGCAAAAAAACTCTTCCTTTTGGGAGAGCAAAACACCGGAAAAACTTACCTCATAATTGGTAAAAATCAACGTCCTTTTAGGTCTTTGCCTTCTTGAGAACCTTGAGTTTGTCTAAATTATTTTCTACATTTGCGAGAGTGAGATATGTAGATATGTACATGTACTGAGATACATATAAAATAATTGAAAATTAGCAGCTCTTACAGCCTTCACTATCCACAAAGTTTCATCAAAATTTCTAAAACCGTTTTAAAAAATTCGTTATTTTGTATTTTTCAAATAACGTTTGATCCCTGTATTGATGACAACTATGACCCATGTATATTTGAATTTTTTCATATTTGGAAAAAGTCTGTTTACCTCTGAATATACGGTATTTATTTCTGAGAAACCCTGTATAGGCACTAATTTTTGAAATTGTGTTCAATCAAAGTTTTCAAGTTAAATGGTATTTTCTAAGAAGCTCCAAGTGGAAGCTCTATAACTATCCCAGAATAGCCACCCACATAATCAAAGTTGAATCAACAGTTCTGAAGGGAGTTAAACCCCATACATGTCAAAATAAGCTAGGACTATTTTGTACTGCCAAATCAATATTCCGTAAGTAATAAAAATGTCTATTGACGCTAACACTTATGGAATAATTTTATTGAAGCATCGCATGTTCTGTTTTCATAAATTCATGGAAAATATTTTATCATATCGGATATTACGGATTATGGAAATCYATTGAAATCKTTTCRMRSTCATTTTTGTTGATCTCGAATTTTTGAAKGAAGCTTATTATTATACYATTTTATGAAAGTTTTTCACCAGAAGACTTTCGTCTATTAACCAGCTGAGATAGAAGATCCAAACATTCTTKTGCCTGTACGCAATGAMAACTGATGTTGCGAAGTAAGGTATGAAATTGATGTAAGTTGAGTAGTTCTGTCATGAATTGAGCAATTTTGTACCAGACTTACTTAGTACTCATGTAATAAAATGGAGGCATTTGCATGACCTCTCACCTCAATCGAAGAAATTAATCCTGAAACTTCACATTATTCTCCACAAGTCTAAAGTTCTTATTGTTTATAAAACGATGTTAATGTGAAAAACCTCATTTATACACTGTTGCCAAGTTTCCTATTTGAGTTTTGGCAAATATCTCAGTTTTTTGTGAGAATTATTTCAATAAACTGATTTTTCAGCAATCGGTAGCTACCCCCAGACAACACCTTCAGTTGAATGACATCATCAGGTGCAAATCACTTCGTATCGGACGTAACATCGATCACGTAACAGTTTATATATTAAATTTGCCTATAAGCAGGTAGGCAGATGTAAAACAGAAGCGGCTAAATATCTGTATGCTAATTATTAGCAAACCATAATCCATTAAACCTCGCAATCCGATAACACTGTACAGCATGAGAGTCATCAAGGTCACCTGGCCTTCAACATCATCAAACGAGCATCGCCGGCGGTGCTCGTGACGTCACGGAAACCGGGAAACCACGTGCTTTTCGCAATGATCCTTGCGTTGCGCACATGCGCGTCGATTTGCTTGTGCGGATACCGGGTTTCGGGTGTTTGATCCTTTGTTTCGTACGGCGTTCTATCATCAGGTACAGGCCGACAATCAAGAGCGCACATTTACACATTCGACAAAATTAATTCAAAATTGTTTTCGAGTGTCTCCGAAAATATTCCTAGATTCTTGAGAAAAACAGAAAAAGCGCATGAGAACTCAAATATCTGCAAGAGAGCTTCGTATTGCTTACATTATTACAGGAAAAATGTTTCTTGAAACCAAACCAGAAAGGCATCTTGAACATTTCAAAAGAAAAAAAGGCATAATTTCTATTACATATTCCAAGGATACCTTAAAACGCTTCGAATTTTTTAAATGTAAAATCCCTTAATTATTTTTTTAAACTGACAAAGAACTATGGGTAACTATAAGGTATTGGTTTTCTTCTATTGTATTTTAAATGTTGAAGATATGTGTTGCATGCATACATTTAGCAAATTAATAAAGAAAATTAGTCGCGTCTTTGGCGGCATAAGCAAATAATCTGGCCATTGGCTCATGTGCTACGATTTACATATCGTTACCAACGCAAAACAGCCGAACCAACGTATTCAAATTCATTTTGGGTTAACTGAAATTGCACCAATTTATTGTGAGAAAAATATCCAACTGTAAAGTCGATGACAACCAAGAAGATTACCGACTTTATTGGCGTATAAATTGGGAAAAGTGCGTAGTGTAAAATCGACATTACGTTTTTTGCAACATCCGGACCGTGTAGACCTTACGTAGTCCCGGTTCTTTACCACCTATACATAGTTGATATTTATGAAACACCCTGTTTTTTTTTCAGATTATATGATACCTAATGAACTTTATCTTTGTTTATTTTACTCTAAATCATAATTGATATTATGTTTTGTACTTTTCATAACTGTAAATACACACAAACGACAAAAACCAAATATATTACAAGGAATAGCTTTAAATTGTTGCTTTGTGTATAATTGATTTTGAAAACAATAGGGAGGCAACATTACTTTTAGCCCACAATGTAACATTTTTTTTTGAAAGACCAATAACGACATGCTTGCCACTTACCCCCCTACGCAATTCAGAATGTTGCATTCATCTATAAAATATTCTGTTAATTTCCAAAACAAGTTGTTTGAACTTGCTTGAACTGTGCAAAGTTCATAAATTGGAAGTACATCTTAAAATGCACCCAACTTACTGTAATTTTCCAATAATTATCTTACAAATTATTGTACTTTTTCATATTTACACGACGGATGATGATGAACATAATAAAAGAAGAAGATAATTAATTATAAAATAAAATTAAATAAGCATTGCTTCACTTGTTACTATACATTCAATACTCGCCTTCTAATTTAGGTAATTCATATTTTAAAACATAATGAGTTATACAACTAGAATGGTAATAAAATGATAAATATAAATTTGTTCTAAAAAAATGGTGAAAAATTCAGTACTAATACTAGCAGTCAGTTGAAGCTTTTGAAAAAATCCGTCAAATCTAAAAAAAATTATGTCGGATTTCAATATATTTTTCGACTATACATTTTCTTGCTTAAACGTATCTGCTGTAAGTCCCGAGTCGGATTAACTAACCAGCAAAAAATTACAAAGCCTTAAATGGTCGAGTGTATAGTGCACTAAAATATTATAGTTTTTTGGTCCCTTCTTTTTTCTCAAAACTGTGTATCATACATAATATATATTAGACTATAGTCACAGTTCGATTTCTAACTTATTTATTATACGGTCTTATTTTGGGTACTGTAACTGTAGTGCATTTATCATCTGATGAAATTTGCCATTTACTTACATTAAATACATTCCAATGCCAGTCAGAATATGAATATTCAGAATACAGTTTGCACATAGATGTAATATTACCTATGGTTCTTGCTTCTAGAGTGTAATTTTATTGAAGGTTCTGGGAATTATTAGGTTCATTTATTATACGGGGATTAAAAGCAAATTGTACCCTGACCTCGAAATCGCATTCGGTTTTGTTCAACTATTGCCAATAGTGCCATAACCTTAAGAAAAAATATAGCATTTTAACTCGGATATTGATACAAAATAAATAGAAATGAAGTAAATTGACTTCTGCGTAACAGAATCCTCTTCTTGAGAGACGCAACCACTTAACTTTGGATTTAGCGCCCCTAAAAAAATTACAATGGTTACCATTTTTTTTTAAATTCTTTGTCACTTAGGACTTATCGCGGCAAATGACGGTCTACTTTAACTTTTCTATCAATTATAAAACGTGTCTATCAGTTCAATGCATAAATCCCATGATTGCATCTGACTTTGTTCGAACAAAACATAATTTAAGCAACATGGCCAATGTATCATGCAATAAACTAATGACATTGCGCATATTCAATAATATTATTCCTTTTTATCTCAATTGACTTCTTCATCAAAACACGTTAATTATGTTTTTGTCGCTACCAGTTAGGAGACCTAACAATTATATGTTGGTACGGTGCACAAAGTGATGCGACAAAAATATAAAATTATATTAGTTTCGAGTTATTCTTTTTTTAATCATGATCATTTTTGAACATGAAATCTAAGCAAGTAAAATGAATTATCGGTGAGTCTTACCAATTTTATTAATTACCAACCAAGTATTTCTGGAAAACCTAATAAAAATAGTACGTGACCCAAAAAACTGTGAAGAAAAATGAAGAGTCGATGAATGGAAACATTTGCAAATGAATACAATTTTGATAACGCAACGAAATTGTTATTTGAAAGCAAAGCAAAACAGACGAAGAATAATGTGAATAAATAAGAAGCAAATGGTTTGGAAACGATGTGTAACACTTGCAGAAAGAAAACTCCTGCTTTAAGCAAAATGTTAACGAAATATCGAGGCAGCTCACACAGAGGTAGTCAGAGAGTCCTGTAACGCGTAGTTAGTTTTTGAAAATTGTTCATTCACTCAGACAATTCAATTAATTTGTCTTAAGGGAAGCGGAAAAGTCACTACTAGCAGCTAATTAAAAAAAAAAACATTTCACGAGTCTAAATTAATGTGAATATTAATATCAACTCAATTCTTAATGTGCTAATTTTCTGAAAAATTCGATTGAATTCATATCACAACTGAAGAAATTAATTCACCATGCTTTAGGCGTACGAGCAAATTTCCCCAGACTGTTATGATGTGGGAATTTATAAGCAGTGGAAGAGTTGCTATTACCCTTTCTTAAGTAAAAATCGTATTTTTAAAAATAAATTCAATTAACATCTATGTTTAATTTCAAAAATGTATCTTGTATTTTAAAACAGAAGATTATACGTTTTCTTTTAAACCCTCTTATGTGTAAAACCAAGTAGTGAAACACAGTATAGTTCTGGTGTTGGACACCTCAATATTTTCCTGTCTGTATTATTTCACTAATGTATTTTTCTTCCTCACGAGTTGATTAACTGAAGAATTAATAGTTGATTTAAAATTAATTTAATACCTCTGTTTGACAAAGCCCTTCATGCAACTGTTCCAATAACAGCAAAACAATTACTTTTATATACTGTTAGGTTCAGAATTTGCTCGTCTAAACAATTCAATGCTTTCGTTATAGTTCGTTCTATTGAAAACGCCTCGTTATGCACACTTCACTGTTAATTACCCTCGGAAAAAGCTAAACTGCTTGTAAAAAGTTATTACAACTTTCATATAAAGGGTGACTTTTTAATGCATTGACGAAGCAAGTAGAAGATTAAGTGCTGCCGCTCGATTTAGCTAGAAATACATTCGAGGGTTTACTGTAAAAGGTACTTTGTCAACTGCAATCAGACAAAGCAAAGAAAACAATGCAGCCAAAGACGAAAATTCTCTGTCTGAAAGCGCAACCCCTGTCCATGTTATGTGACCGTTATCGTTTTGATTTTTTTGCCTGTAACAGTTATATTTTAGGAGAAGACAGCTGAAATTCATTAGGCAACAGACTTAACGATCTAAGTTTATTTGATGGATTACAAATAAACCTTTAGAGAATTTCGCAATTGCAAGACGATACTATTCTTATAGTATTTTTTGCGACTGAAGAAACTTCGCACAAATCAACAGAAACTCTGGCCTGCGTTGGATATAGCAGGATCGCAATCCGTTCCCAACATACGCAGCGTTGCCCGAGACAGTCCGTGCCGGTGCGACAACACTGAAATTTGGCCTCCAATTTTTTCCTAAGGAAAACATTGTTTCATGTCGCAAAAAACAAAATACTTGTGCCGATTTACGCGAGAGTTGGATGAGAAACTGATCGAATTAGTTGCCGAAAATGAAGTTCTCTACGACCACAAGCACAAATATTACAAAGATTTAAGTATGAGGGACGATGTCTGGCTTGCGATTTCCTCGATAGTCGGAAAGTCGGGTAAGTATGCAACGCTGCCAGCTTATTACGGTTTACTAAGTTTTCCCTGATTAACTGTTTCTTTACTGGTATAACTCTTCTAACTGTAGTGTTTGTGCATTGTGCACAAACACCGTCGCATGTTGCCTAGGTAAGTGGGCACCTGATCAACATTTGCAATATATGCAACTGATTTATTGATTTGCGATATTGGATATGGTTATTAAAGTTTCTAACCGGACAATAAAACGGATTCGTGTAAAAATGAGTACCTAGATACTATTTATGTTTAGTCACATGTATGGACCTTTTGTTTCTAAACTAAAGTCCGGAATCAATTCAGAAATCATATCAATATAGAAAGATGTTTGCACTAAATTATCACCGTTTTGAATGTTCTGCTTGAAACCAAGTTTAGTTTTTCAAAACAGTTTCCTTACTGAAAGGTTAATAGTGTTTTCAGTCACTTCAAGGCACAAGTCAAACTTAATAGTGTTTACTAAGCTAGCAGTTTCCACTGAACTGAATTAAACATATTTATATTATTTTCAATATGACTACGAATTGATGCAGACTTTACCACGACAAAGCTAAATTAAACAAGCAGGAATTTTAAACATAACAAAATTTGCAAAAACGCTAACTGTCGATTGCGCTCAATTTTCATTAGAATAAAGCACAAACGGAAACAAAAATGGGAGAACTAGTATGTAATGTACAAACAAAATACAATATTAAGGTGAAATCACACTAGCACTAGAAACAGGTAAATAAATATGTACGTTGAACAAAAAGACGAAACACTAACAGATCATCTTCGCGCCAAAATATAACTGCGTAGGAATACATTCAATAATATTCCCACTTTTGGCTGTAAATTGCCGTTATATTATCAAGTGGCGGGATGTAGAATGTAGATCAAGTGGTGCGATATTGATGATATACAGTGCGGACATTAATGGTCCTCCTGCGGTCATTTGAATTGCAAAGCATATTTTTGAGTGATGTATGGACTATTAGAAGCAAAAAGGAACATCTTATGATAATTTTGCGATCATCCACTGTGTAAGGGTCAGAAATACCTCAGAGAACTGGCAGAACAGGAGCAAGGTCAAGTTGTAGCATCAGTGGTAAATAATTCACAACAGTTTACCCCCCATAAAAATAGTGTTATTTTAGTAGCAAAAGTTTATAATGAAATGAGCAATAAATCTATACGATCCTACAGCAGAAAAATTGGTTTCAGTGGCGAGTACACGTTTTTTCAATTGGAAGTATTAGTGGAAGAAAAAGGAACAAAATCTGCCATACTGTTCGGATGTAAACACCCAAATTCCTAAGAAAATATACACTAATAAGAAATATGCGTAGGCAGGAATGAATATTAAGAAATCACATTTATCTCGTCGTTTCCCGGAGTCACAAAATTAATGTTGAAAATCAAGGTTATTTTTCGATAGTATAGCGCTTTTTAGGCAAGTTTCAGGATGGTTGAACCATGTTTTTATAATTGAACCAGTGAACTAAATTCGCTCAATTCGATTTTTTTATAGTTAGGAAAACTCGAAATTTTACACACACAAAATGTGTTTTTTTTTAAATTTAAAGACCCTGTATTTTAAAAAGAATGCAGTTCCGGGCTTATATTTTTGTTCTTAAAATTACTGTCTTGATAGAATTATGCCCTGAAGAATAGAAAAGATGACAACCCGAGAATAATACGAAAGGAGCCGAAATCGATTGACCAATTACTTATTAAACCACCATCATAAAATGCAATAATATATTCGTTGATAAATACATATCAACGAAAAAAACTAGTGTGCAGTCCTTCTATTTTCAGCAAATCGAGAGTCACAAGGCGCTTTAAAGAGTCCATCCTGTTTTAGGCATATTCAATTTATTCACATTTTAATGGTTTCAATGCAAGATTTTAGTTGTGGTGATACAAAGCTACTAGTTTTTCCACAAACATTCGCTTTAGATCGTGTCAGATGAATTGTCTTTCATCCTCGCAATCTATTCAATTATTCCAATTAAAATAAGCTTCAATTTTGTTTAATTTTTCTATATATAAAATCATATATATAAAAACAATTCTCCTTATGTGGAAAGGCAAAATAATTTAGGCGAATTTCTTGAACAAAAAAATAATTTTAAATCAGGATGAGATATATAACGCAGATGAGACGGCTCTATAATGGAAACCCCTTTTGTATTCAGCAGAGAAAGACTGCTCCAGGGAGAAAAACCACAAACGAAAGAATAACATTTTCCATCTCTACTAATGCAATTGAAGTACATAAATTGAAACCTTTGGACATGGCAAAGTAACAAAAGCCAAGCTTAAATGATTTTAAAATTTTTGCCGATTTCAGACATTCGAAATATTCATGCATGACTTTCATTTTAATAACATTCTTTTAATTTATTCGTATAAAAATGTAAACGACTTAATGATGAACATTACTAAATTTAAAAAAGCTTTAATGTTTTCGCAAATATTAAACTAGCAATGGGGGATCGTTGAGGCAATAAAACATATAAGATTTGAATCATTTTGAAGTGAAAAGAAAGATTTCCGCACTGATTTTGCAAGAATTTTTGTTTTATTTCAGTGCTTGATTGCAAAACTAGATGGCGTAGCCTCAGGGACTTATACCATCGAAAGAAAAAAGAACAAAAAATGGGCAAAAAGCTTAGAGCACCTTGGGAATACATGGAATCCATGAAATTTTTAGAGAAATTTACAACGGAGAAAAAGTAAGCGTTGCGACTGGGGATTTAATTAAGCTCATAGCTTTGGGCGATTTTTAATTCTAAATAGTTAACTACGAATTGCAAGAAAAATAATTGCAAAAATAGCCTGACTTGGGCAAGTTTCTAAATGTATAGTTTTTAATTAGCCGCTACATTATATTTTATGGAAGTGATGGAGTAGCTCGCTAATAGTAACAGTTTGCTTACAGGGTAGCGCAGGAAGATACGTCAGATGCTCAGGATGAGGACACGAAAATAGATATAAAACTGGAATTTGATCCAAGCACTCCTACCACCAGCACCAACCAGAATGGTGCAAGTAGCGACGAGTGTATCCCTGCAAAGAAGCCGCGAATAGAGGAAATATATCAGTCGTATGACAACTCGGCCATTCTGCATATTTTGCAAGAAATTCGGGATTTGTCAAAAAAGAAAGACGATCCAATAACGACCTTCTTCGACAGCATGGCCAAAACGGTAGTATCGTTTCCACCAGCTCAAGCAGCGGAAGTGAAGCTCAAAGTATGTCAAATTGTAACGGAGATGGAATGTAAGATTCTAGACATGAGTGGAAATCATCCAGAAAGTTTTGAGTAACAGTGTCTACAATTAAGAAAATAACATTACATTAATGAATGGTTATAGAAGGTCGACTACTTCCACTCCAAAAGTATTCTAAATATGCTTGTTTATTCCAATCGGTACAGCTGATTGTTTGGCAATATTCTATTTTTTATTTTATTATTGACCGATCGTCAACAAAAACTAAGGATACATAAGTAAAAAGAAAAAAAAAACATTAATTAAGGCCTTCAAATGGAATACTTTTGGATTGAACAACGGCCGTAATAGCTGTTATATAAAAAAAACTTAGCTTTAGCAGTAAAATATTCCTTATCATGTATAAATGTGATACAAATTTCTGTTTTTTTCCTTTAAATTCTATTTGGAATGTGATACTAAAGTAAGCGTTGGAAAAATGGAAAGGCAAAATTGAGATGTGATTAGACGTGATAACCAATTATATTGTGATTCGAAATTATTTAAGTTTATCGTGACCAGAAAAAAATATTTTTGTTCGTAGTGTTTCGAGAACCCAAAGGTTAATGTTTGTAAATAAAAGCTGTTAAAACAGATGTCTGCATTTTTATTGGATTCAATTGAGCCTATTATTGAATTATCTGCTCATCTTTATTGTTATTCAATTGAACCCACATTATCGTTTTATCATCAATTAACATCGGCTATTTGTCGTTTATCTTCTTGCGGAAGACAATATGATCCTAATTCAGTGTCTTGAGTATTACATCAAAGAAAAATCGTGACTAACTTTTATGTTGGTAAGTAAGAGGATCAAATTTCCGTAAAATTCCTTAATGTTGATGTTTCTAGACAAGCCTTGCTATCATTTCTTCCATAGAAACTCCATCATCAGCAAGTGATTGGAGTAATTTAATTGCTACAACCTTCAAGTCATAAATTGCTTATGTAAAAAGCTAGATCATCTTGTGTAATATAGTTTGGACATCTAACTATGATAGTAATTAATGAACAGAATTCATCATATTGCAAATCAAGTGCAAACATCATTCGAAATCTCGCAAAGGATTAAGCAGTTGATGTTTTGAAACTGGTCAGTATGTATGAATAGTATAGACACAGTCAGACAGAAGAAGTGAAATACGTAAATCTTCCACATGTACTTAGGAACACGCCATTTGTCAAATATTGGAGAAGGCAAAAACGGCTTTCTAACAAGGATATACTTTATGTTTTCAATTAAGAAATTATAAAGTAAATATCGAAGCAGCGAATAGAGAAATTTTCAAAATTTTAAAACCTATGGTGCTCAAAAAGTCAGAAGCCAAAGGATAAGCTTAGTAAAAACACAAGGAGTCTTATGAAACTAAGACGGGAGCTAAATTTCAAGCATACCACGAATGCAGACCACTACGAATCCTAAATAGAGACATCTCAAAGGGCGTCAGGAGAGATATATGAAAGTTTAAATCTGAAGAAATAGAAAAGGTCTTTGAAAACAACAAAAGTTTAAAGGTCCTTCGAAGAAACTTCTCCTCTGGTACTGAGAACAGTTCTAAGCTGGAGAATGGGGCAGACCGTACTACCTCAAATAAGGAAGAAAATTTAGTTGGTTGAGGACTTTTAAACAGAGCTATACAAGGAAAAGAAAACCAATCCGCCTGAGAACTTGCCTCATGTAAGAAACCAAGGTTCAGATGATATTCCTGATATTACCTTGGATGAGTTAAGAGCGTTGCTGAAAGAAATGAAGGACAATAAAGAAAACCCCAGGCAGGAAGGTGGAATTTTTATTGAGTCTATTAAGGCAGGAGGAAACACATTGCTTAAGCATATATGCAGTATTTTCAATGTATAGCTTCTGAAGGAAACAACACCTGGGAAGAATGCTATAATAATCATAATGCACAAAAAGGAAGACATCGAAAAACTAGAAAACTAAACCGATAAGTAAATTGTCATACGTCTACAAACTCTTTATGGAGATTATAGCTAAGAGTGATACCTGCCGTCTGAAATTATATTTATACCAGCCTTGTAAACAGGCGGGATTTAGAGCAAAGTATGAAACAAACGACCACCTTCAACTATTCAAGACTCTCTTATTAGAAAAATGCATCGAGTATAACAAGCCACTTGTCTCATTATTCATAGATTCGTATTGATCATAGATATACTTTAGGCATGAGTAACTAAGTTAATAGGTAATCCCTATTCAGTGAAATCCTGAATTTTGCGGCTTCGTAAATGTTGATTTGAAAATAAACGCTTTTACACAACTGCAGGCTCATCAATAAAAAATTCCAGCTTCCAAAGCAAAGCCAGTAGAAAGGTGAAAGATTGACATTCTGTAAAACACATTTTTTTTTAAATTAAGTTTTGGCGTAAGCTTGCACCTAAATGTCTCATATTCAAATTTTGTGTGACTTTGTGATAAATCCACCAGAATTGTTACAACTAAATCGAATTACCAATTCTCTATCCTATGATATAAAAACGAACTCTGTCTCAAATAGTTCTTGAGCATCGTAAAAAATAGCGGCGTCATCTTTCAGTCGATATCGCAATTTAAAAAAAAAACAGACAATACTAAAATTCTTCCCTTTGTTTAACAAAAAAAAAACAAAACTGGGACCAATAAGTATTTGCATATCTGAAACGGTTCTTTGGAGACAAGCTTCAGATGAGCTTGATGTAAAAATACAAAGCCGCCCAAAATATTCCCAAAGTTTAAAAAATAACTACGAAAGAACTATTAGCTCAATGGATATCAAATTTACGCTACGAGTCAGTTGATGAGTATGGGACTAAAAGTTGTACATGTATGTACATGGCAACCAGGGGCAAAGTAATGCTAAGCTTACCGAAAGCTGCGTAGTGCCACCTGGAAAAAAACCAAAAAATGTGTTTAGTACAGTAGAAAATCTGTCAAAAGCCAAACTTATTTGAAACCAACAAAGCAAAGATAGATAAATATAAATAATTCACAAAAATTGAGTTGCTTGTCGGAAAACTGAACTCAGTTCATGCTAAAAGATTTATAGATTAGCGATCATTCTCACCCGCTGTATGCAAGCTGGGGACCCATCTTCCATTTTTACGCAATAATCTTCCACAAGTTCACTACGCTTTCACAAACTACCGCATTTGCCATAAGGGCGACAATAATTCTATATTTCCCATCAAAGAACGCGATTCACACGACACTGTCGGAAGTAAACTAAACATTCAAACCTACACCTTTTGAAAAAAAAACGGCACCAAAATACGGAATAAACATGATAATATAATCATTCGCTGGTTCGCCCTTTCGATGACTCATTGCGCTGCTCTTGCTTAGTAGTTCGATTTCAGTTTGTTTATTGTGGACATTTTTGTAGAAAGTGCCTGTTCGCATTGCAATATTTCCAAAGGCAAATTTCACGTTCCAACTTAACGAAAGTCAACAACAACTAAACAAAAAACGCTCCAAGAGCCGACCTTCCCTAATTTAATTTAAAATTTAGAGCCATTTACGTATATTTGTCTGAATTTCACTGAGCTGCAGTGATTAATGCACAACGCCAAAACTAAAACTAATAACCGAATTAATTTCGTTTATCTAAAAATATTGACAAAACCAAAAAACACAAAGAAATCAATGAAAACCATCGAAATTTCAACTAATTAAAATGTCCTTGAAAAGAACTGATTTCAAGAATTATTCCGCCACAAGCGCAATTCGAAGTGAGTATAAATAACTCACCAACTCACAGGGCGTATAAACGTATATATTTTTTGAAACCTTCAAGAACTAAGGTTCTATCGCCTCGTACAATATGTTTGTCATATCATCTTCTTCAAATGGAAACAATATGTTTACGCACGATTTCTGTTTAATTTTCCTTCTAAAATTAAGAACCTAGCTCTACTGCCAATAAATGAAAGGTCATCTATTCCAAATGAGTTGATTACTTTAGCACATTATTTTATCGCCTATAAATCCCATAGCGTAATGGAAATTTTCCGGGGCTAACATTTCCCGCAATACAATTTTTTTGCAATACTCAATAAATAAATGCAATAATAGTCGGACATTTCAAGCATCGCTTATAGCCCTATTTTTGATTTTATGTGCGAAACTATAAATACAAGTAAAACAAACATTGCATTATTTTTAATCTGAACTTGGAATTTTCTACGGCTGGATGGCGCCGGGAAGCCTTCCAAAAGTCCGCAGCAAATCTGTGTTAGCAAGTAATCAATTATTGGTGAAGTTAATGATATAACTAATGTATAAGTGAATTCCAATTTTTGTCAGTGTTCAACGTTATTCATTTTCATTAGTTTTTTTTTCATTCTCTGTTTCATCAGTATGTAGCTCTGAAATATGATTATGTGATAAAAATAACGAGTTTTATTCAAGATTTTTATTCAATTTTATTCAAGAGTATCGTACATTTGTGAGAAATTATGTTATGTATATGTTTTTGTTATTTAAAAAAATATATTGTAAAGAAATGGATACATTAACAATTTAACAAATGTGATCATATTGCATTTCAAAAAAGTTTATTCACAAATACTGAATTGAAGATTACGGAAAGTGTTTCGCTTGAGAAGGAGAAAAATTACCATCAAAAGTATATATATCGTAACATACTCCCTCAATACTGTAATTTTAACACAATAAACTTCTACCTTCCGTATTGTTATGGGACGTAAAAGACATTAGTCCAAAAAAACAAATTTGTATGCGTTATAGTCGTCTTTTACGCTCTATGAAAAGGAAGTACTTGTGATAAAAAAAAGTTAGATGAAAATTGAAAACCATAGATTAAAAATGTAATCTGTAAATTCAACTTCCACTGCTACACTATTAATTTTCATATACATTTGAATACGATTTCCTTGTCCATGATGGTACACCAGACCTGACACTCAAATATTAGCTTTTCTCGTTAAGATGATATTCTCGAAAAGACCACGCAATGATTCACTACAAATTTCCTTCGCTCTCCACGCGCTTTGTTATATTATTGGTAATTTACCCCCAAGATCCGACACGTTTCTAAGTGGGGTTACTCATCACAAAAGGGATGAAGATCCCGAAGCAGGGCCCGTCCTACGCGCGGCGCTATTTTCCAAGGGCCACAAATCATTTTCCACCCTTACTGTCAAGCGACAATAAGGGGTCGGTTTTCGGGACGAAATAATATTTTATACACTTGTTTGCTTTCAAGTTTTCATTTAGATTGAAATTCGTGACGTGGAAAAGTGAACTTTTAGATTTGTTGAGGCGCAGAAAAATCGATTTTTTTCGGAAAACTGTTTAGTTGGTGAAAATGGAAATTTAAGTTAGTTTGAAATTTGATCGATTTGGGCGAAAATCAGATGCAAATGCAAAAATCAAAGGTTTTCATATGCTTGACTCATGAAACAATGTGGAATTTAATCAGAATAGTTACAAGATTGACAGTATATCCCTCACTAAGAAGTGTTTCTTCGCTAAATAGGCGTCACATTGGGGTAGATCTCGGGAGATTGGCAATGCGGGTAAAATATTACGGCCCCACTTTTTCCCCACATTTATTTGCTTTCCGCCGGTGCCTATTTG